TATGTTATTGCTAAGCAGTAAACAAAAGATATCTTCGCAATACATATTGATTGGAAGCTTCTTTATAATTGAGGTGAGAGTCAAGTTAAAATTCAATGTCTTTATATTTCTGAAGCATATGTAATCTATGTAATGAATTATATAACTTCAAATATGTTCTTAATAAAATCTTTCTTAACGTTAAACCTAAAAAAATATTTAATATAACTAATGTCTTGCTATAATTAAAAACACCATCATTTCCATGATTTAAGAAGGTAAAATTATTTTTATTAAACACACTTTTCAAATCATAATAGTTACGCTTCGTATTAAAAATAACCTATAGTTATCGCATGCAAAATATGCAATAACTGCTGGATTCATGATACTTGCGTAAGTACTTATGTAATAAATATAACTTTCATTAAATATTAATGCCTAAATCTGATATCTTATAAGAGCATATATGGTCCAATTCCTTCAGCTTGTGAGTTGTTCTCGGTCGTATTATCATTTAACAATATCAATCTATCTCAATACCATAATAAGATACAATATTAGGATGATCAAGCATTTTCATAACAGACATTTCCATAACAGACATTTCATAAATGGTTTAAGTATAAATCTTTCTTTTATTAATTTTTATTAATCATTTTAACTGAAAGTCCCGACGAACGTATTATAATTTTCAGCGGTGACCAGAGTCCATGGATTTTAGTAATAGCAAAAATAGCACTAACGATATCACGACAACCACATAACCAAGTCTGACCGAGATTGTTTTATTTAATTCTATATATAAATATATTGAATTAAAATAAACCAATTTTTATCAGATTTGGTTGTTATTGTCGTGATATCGCTAGTTCTATTTTTACTACTATAAAACAGGCCTACAGAATAATTAATTGTTGAGGTAATTAATTGCAAATTTCGAAGCCAATTAATTGCAATTTTACGTAATTAGATTATTAATTACGGTAAATACATGTGATTTTTGATATTTCGCAGTTTAAAAGATCGGGTTACACCAGGCAGCGCTCTACACAGTATAGAAAAAGAAAGTTGAATATAATTGCAATTAATTTCGACTATTTCATCATTAATTTGGGTTTCAATTATTTCATCATTAATTGGTTTCAATTATTCCATAATAATTTTAATTGATTTTAATTGTATGACAAAATTAACTGTAATTAATTTTTCGGTAGACCTGCTTCTAAAATTCACTAACTCTGTTGGTGTGATAATACCGGAACATTTGGCTGATCTGTGGATCTTAGATATTGCAACATATCAATGGTCAATCGGAAAAATTTCAATTCCAATTGTGGATCTGGTTATTTATGCACATACTGCGGCCGGATTAATGAACAATTATATGTTGATTACATTTGGTAATTCTTAATTGTTTAACTTATTTATTTATTTAAATTACTAATCCTTCATATTTTTTCAGGTACATCACAAATATTTATGTTAAATATAAACCAGAAAGTTTCCTACGTATAGGTGAGATACTGAATTTACTTCAAGTAATCAAGTTTCAATCGATACAAAAAGTTCAGACTCTAAGAGCATCGGCTTAATTATTGGAGCTACCATTGATACAATTAATATTCGGTATGCTATTATTGTGACTATAAAATGTACCGATCAACAGGAATAAATGTGTTACTACAGATCACTGAATTTGTTTTAAATAATATAATTAGTTCCTTAATTAATATGACTAATTATAGAGATTATAATATATTACTTACGAGTAGTGGCATGAGCGTAATTGGCCGTGATTTTTTACAAAACCCTAATTATTCCGTGATCCAGTAATCCAATTTGAATGGTTTTGGTGCCATGTGATCCGTCTTTATGAGACGAATCGAATGGTACTAAAATTATTCATTATAGATTACTGGATCACACGAATCTTGGTCAAAATCCAGAAAGCCAAAATTTAGGTATTCGAAAATAACAATTTCATGAATTACGGTAAAAATGCCGTAATTCTGCTGTAATTCATTAAATAATTTTCCGTGAATATCTTGTGACTCAGTGATACTATTCGATTTGTCTCATTGAGACAAATCAATTTGGATCAGTGGATCACGATATAATTGAGGTTTTAGAAGATACGATTAATTACGGCAATGTGCTCACATTCCTACTTACGAGCATTGCAAGAATGGACAATTAAATCGCGGTATGTTTTCTTAAATAAATTTAATGAAGTTGAATTAAACATCGAAGCTTTTGACTAAATTAATCACCACTTTCAAATTATAGCCGCTTTTCCCCCAAACGTTCATACTTTCCCGATGGGTCATCTATTGGCATCACTCAAGGATGATAATTTAAAATTTTAGGTAAGACCAATTGGATTATATACATATGTGTTGTAAGTGGGAACGGAGGTTAGGTGGATTCGTAGAATTTATTTTATGTAAACTTACGTCCTCATCTTAAAACTCAAAATAATTTCCAAATCCACTTAATCCGTTCCCACCTACAATATATATATTTATAATTGATGTTTAAAAAATTGGTATGGAAAAAATAATATGACAGGGTGAAACCTGAGTTGCGAAATAGTGAAATTAGCTGTTACATAATAAAAAAAAAAAAACACCAATAAAAAGCGGATTTCACCCTAACCGATCTACAAAGCGGATTTCACTATTTCCCAATTCCGTTTTACTCTGTTCTAAAATAATTATAGAGCTAGTAACGATCCAGAAATCTCCAATGTAGATAACGATTAGAGATGGAATTGGCTTAAGCCGGTTGGCTCAGCTCAAAAAAGCCAAACTAGCTGACTCAAGCCAACTAGGTTAAGCCAGCTCAAGCCAACCAGATCAAGTGAGCCGGTTTAAACCAAGCTGGCTCCAATAAGTAAAATTTGAACAGAAGTTTAAGTTTACAAGGCATCATATAATAAATTATCAGGTTATCCAAAAAATTATTTTACTATTGCCTTTGACGATCATTTAATCAACCCAATAAAAAATCCTGCGTAAAAAAATGAAAAATGTTAAATATCAGGTAAATAGACAAATTAATCTGTATCGGGTTACCAATTTTTGAGTCTAAAATCCTTGCTTTTACTATCGTTAGTTATTGCAACTACGATATCGCTTACGTTTGTATTCAAAATTACACTCTGTAATTACCCGAATGCATGTTGATCTAACCAAAATTTGATGAATAAATCACGTGGACTAATCAAATGTAAGATTTCACAAACAATCCCACTTCAAACGTCATATAATCCATTGTGATTCACAAATCGGCTAAACTAATCCAACTCTCGCGTAACCTACGGCGGCTAAGTCGAAATAGGCGTGTTAGATTTGGCTGGGTGGTTTA